ATGAAGAAACAAACTCCTAAATTCTTACTCCTAGCCACCTAAGCTTCCCTTGCCCCGGGGCTTTTGTTGTAATGAAACTCTTAACTCCTACCAGTCCCCTCCTAACTCCACATCTCTTCATTAGCCCTCATCTACTCACATTTGAGGGAGACTTGTGTATAACATTTAATATTCTTTCACCAATAAATATTTATTGAGCACTCTGTATCAGAGATTAAGCAAGGCATTGGAAGCATACACAGCGTTTGGCAAAGCATTCCTGTTCCCTGCCCTCATGGAGCTCACAGACTAACAAAGCCTAAATTCGGGGGTGGGGCGGGGGGCAGGAAGTTGGCAAACCTATTTTATTCTCCCACTAAGCTACAAATGTAGCCTTTATTTCCTCATTTGGTTGAGCTCTCAAGTAGGGAAAACACAGGTGTTGCTGATTGTACCCCCTTGGCCCTCCAGCACAGGATGCTATGGGAGAGAATGCCTGGGGCCAATAGCCTGGTTTTGAGTAGGTGAGGGGGACCTGAAGATAGGCAGGAATTAGTGAGATGAAGATATTGAGGAAGCAAGTTCCCAGAAGGGAGATAGCATTTGCAAAGGCCCTGAGGCAGGAAAGGATTTCACAGGTTTACAAAGCTCATTTAGTGTGGCTGGAGGGAGAAACAGGAGAAATGGCTAGAACTGGAAAGGTGAGGTCCTTAGAGCCAAGTTAAAAACTTTACCTTGAGAGCACTGAGAAGCCATGGAAAAGCTTTAGTGACATTCCCTTGTCTCTTGCAACCCATTATTTACCTGGAGAGGTCCTCTTACCTTTAGGCACAGAGGTGCTGTGCAGACAAGGTGCTATTCAGACTCAAACACATGGGCAGCTTAGCAGAAACCATGCTTAGAAGCAGGGAGTGGAAAGAGTATGAGCTTGAGAGTCTTGGGTCTGTATGATTTGAAGAAATCTCTTAACTTCTCCAAGCCGCTCTCCTTTATTTATTTATTTTTAAGATTTTATTTATTTATTTGACAGAGAGATAGCGAGAGCAGGAACACAAGCAGGAGGAGTGGGAGAGGGAGAAGGAGGCTTCCCACTGAGCAGGGAGCCCCATGCAGAGCTCGATCCCAGGACCCTGGGACCGTGACCTGAGCCGAAGGCAGACGCTTAACGACTGAGCCACCCAGGCGCCCCCAAGCCACTCTCCTTTTATGTACAATTGATGATGTAGCATTTTTTTTTAATTATTTATTTAAGAGAGTGAGTGAGAGAGAGAGAGCACACAAGCAGGGGCAGACAGAGAGGGAGAAGCAGACTCCCCTGCTGAGCTGGGATTATGACCTGAGCCAAAGGCAGACACTTAACCGACTGAGCCACCCAGGCACCCCGATAATGTAGCATTTAAACCCCTCACCAGGTTCTTGTAGGATCAGAAATAACAAGTAAAGTGCCTGGGCTGGTACTCCATAGGTGGTAGCTGTCACTATTTTAACAGTGCTCTCTTGCTAACAAATTTGAAACTCTTTTTTGGTAATAGAATCACAAAATCATATGCTGCCAATTGTGAGGAAAACTCAAATATCTGTCTGTGTATGATGCTGGCATCCCTTCTGCAACACTGGTGATCAGTTGGTTTGTTCTCCAATGTTATTTATAACATCCAGAGATAGGAAGCTCACTACTATCTGAAGCAGCCACCCCATGTTTGGGCTCTGTAAGAAGGTTCTTTTCTTGAACAGAATCCCAGTCTGCTTCTTTGTGACCTCTATCCTGGGGTCTCAGTAGTGCCCCTAATGCCTCATCCATGTGACAGCCTTCAGGTGTTTGGGGCCATTATCTTCACCACCACTCATCTTGAGTTGAAAAGCTTGTTTCTTCAGCTTCATAACAATAAAAGGGTCAATTCATCAAAAACTACCAATAGTCTGGGGCGCCTGGGTGGCTCAGTCGGTTGAGCGTCTGCCTTCGGCTCAGGTCATGATCCCGGGGTCCTGGGATCGAGCCCCGCATCGGGCTCCCTGCTCCGCGGGAAGCCTGCTTCTCCCTCTCCCACTCCCCCTGCTTGTGTTCCCTCTCTCGCTGTGTCTCTCTCTGTCAAATGAATAAATAAAATCTTTAAAAAAAAACAAAACAGACTCCACACTGACAGCTGATTAGATAATTCCTACACTCAACTGGACTTAACCATTTGTGGTATTTGTTAAACTATCACGTTACAGGCTTTAGTCACACAAGTATTCAAAACAGCCACTGTCAGTAACTACAAGTACATTCCTACAAGAAGTGTTCATTTTCCCTGTTAGCATTCTTTACAAAGCCTCTTTTAGAGACAGAATAATAGAAGCCAGGCAAGGAAGAAGAGTGGAATACTGTGATTTGCTGTACTTGCAAATGAATGGCCAATATTTGAAAAGGAGGAGCCTCAACTAGTCTTTTCTAAGCACTGAACTAGAAGAGACAAGGCATACTGTGTTTGTCATGGCCATACAACACAGGAAGGCCGCAGAAGACGGGAGCAGTATAGCACTTGCCCCACTGACTCAGTGCAAGTTGTGTGAAGGCAGCATGGCCCTCACACTCCGACACTTGTTTCTTTGTGTGGGGCCCTGTGCTGGATGCACTGGTAAAGATGACCTCTCTAGGAGGCTGAGGTATGTGGCCAAGGTGATCCCACACAGAAAGAGCTACAGAGCCTCAGTGAAAGATTATTTGATATGCCCCAGAAATTGTAAGGATAGTTCTGTGGGCAAATGAAGCTAACCTTCCTAAAGGAGAATAAATGCAGTGTCTATGAATGACTACAATGAAGTCCTCCCAACCTCCTGAAGTAAGACCTTCTCCATGAGAGCCATAGAGAACAAAAAAACAGTGAACCTCAAGCCACCTTCTGTGAGAAACGAATGAGAGAGGCAGAAACACAAAAGTAAAATATCGGTGGAGACTAATACTTTTCAAGTTTGTTAAAGAAGCCCATCAAGAAACAGTTATAAAACTAAGGATCTTGAAATAGTTCCCAAAACAAGAAACAGATAATGAGAAAGTATAGAAAAGTTTGTTTCATGGTGTGCAGCCTTCCACCTTTAGAAGTCAACAAGGAGGATAAAACAAGTGTTAAAAGGAGAGAGTACTGATGGAGACAAGTGAGGCAACAGGAGTGTTGAGTGGAAATTCAGACACCAGTCCTATCCCATTACCCAGTGAGGGAACTGAAGTCCAGAGAGGGTCTTGGACTCCTGAGACACAAATAGGACTCCTTTCACCTAGCAGGGCTCACCCACTGCAGCTGAAGGCTAAGTTCAGCACACACACACACCCTTGAGCTGTTTCTGAGCTGACTTGACAAAGACACTCCAGAAAACTCTTCATTTCACCACCTAATACTTCATCAAGGGATTCTTTTCTCTGCTGGGGCACTGGCACATAGTAATCAGCTCTCTTTCCTGCCCCTCATTCCCTGAGCTACCTTTTTTTAAAAATAAGTTCTCTTCAGGCATTATCATTATTATTGTTGAGAAATTATTCACACATCATAAAGTTCACCCTTCTAAGATATACAATTCATTAATTTCTAGTATATTCATGAGGTTGTACAACTATCATCACTATCTAATTCCAGACCATTTTCATCTCCCCATAAAGAGACCTAATACCCCCTTAGCAGATATGCCCAACTGCCCCTCCTCCACACCCCTAGGAACCACCAATCCACTTTTCTGTCTTTATGGATTTCCCTATTCTGGACATTTCATATAAATGGAATCATACAATATGTGGTGTTATGTGTCTGGCTTCTTTCATTTAGCATGTTTTTATGGCTCATCCAGGTGGTAGTGTGCATCAGTACTTCATTCCTTTTTATGGCTGAATCCTTTTCTATCACAGATACGCCACATTGTTCATCTGTTTCATCAGTTGATGGACTTTTGGCTGTTGTGAATAGCAGTACTATGAACATTCATGTACAAATTTTCGTGTGCACATAGGCGTTCATTTCTCTTGGGTATATACCCATAATTGCAATTGCTGGATCATACAGTAACTCTCTTTAACCTTTTGAGGAGTTACCAGAATGTTTTTCAAAGGGCTGTACTGTTTTACATTCTCATCAACAGCATATGAGGAATCCAATTTTGACACATCCTAACACCTGTTATTATCTTTTTTTATTATAGCCATTCTGATAGGTCTATAATGGTATCTCATTGTGATCCTGATTTTCCTTTCCCTAATGACTAATGATGTTGAGCATATTTTCATGTGCTTGTTGGCCATGTGTATATTTTCTTTAGAAAAATGTCTATTCAAATTCTTTGACTTTTTAAATTGGGTTGTCTTTTTATTATTGAGGTGTAAGAGCCCTTTATATAGATATTCTGTGATTACTGGATCCTTACCAGATACTATATTTGCAAATATTTTCTCCCTTTCTCTGTGGGTTTTCTTGAAGTGTCCTTTGAAGCACTCTTGGGCTACTTGTAACAAATATTAAAACACCTTAAAACTAAATTAGGATTATGTAATTGATGTCTGAATGATACATTTAAATTTAATAAGCATTGTAATTTCACAAGAAAACTATTGTATCCAGACCACATTTTGAGGCTTCCAAAGAGTCTTGAGTTCATTATGGGATCTATCATAATGATAGCTATCGCTTTTATAGCAGCTAAGTGCCAATCGCTGTTTGGGCACTTTGCACGTACTAACTTACTCAGTTTCCACAACAATCCTATGAGGTAGAGATTAATCATCATACTCATTGTACAAATAAAATGGATGCGGAGGGAGGTTAAGTAATTTGCCTGAAGCCAGAGAGTAAGTGGCAGAGATGCGCTCCAGATTCCGACGCTCTTAACCACCTGAGACTGTCAAGGCGGAATTAAGCCATTTCAAAGAATGCCTGACCCCTCGCTTTGAGGAAATTACAGTGTTTTCATGACGTCTGTACTCTGGACAGTTTTCCCTTTGTACTAAGCCAGAAACTAGTGCCACCCTTCCAGTGGTCTTCATTGCTCTCTTCCTTTCCCGTCGGGCTTCAAGTCCCTCTCTCATCTCCACCGGGCGGAGGCTTTAGTTTTTGGAAAGACCTGCGAGGTCGCCTGCGTCTCCCAGGTGCAGTTGTTCTAAATTTCTGACGGCCAATAGGCGCCGAGGAGCTGCGGTTTCTGCCCAATGAGGCTCACAGCGGGGCCATGGGCGGAGCCAGCGAAGGGGGCGGGAACGGAGCCCCCCTCTGTGGTTACTACTGTGTGTGGCGCCGGCTGCCCTGTGCGGAGCCATGAGCTGGACCTGCCCGCGTTGCCAGCAACCCGTTTTCTTCGGTGAGGCCCGGGCTGAGGAGGGGGAGATGGGGCGAGTGTGAGCCGGGGCGTTCGAGAAGCTGACGACGGTGTGGCCTCAGACCCCCTTTCCAGCTCTGGGGCGCAGGGCACTTGGGCGGGTTGGAGCTGACCCCCCCCCCCGGGGACACTCCCTATCGTCTCTAGGAAAAAGGTGGGGAGGGGGCTGAGGGGGGACAGGGGGCGCCCGCTGCGTGGCCTGGCTCTCCACAGTCCGGTTCCACCTTGTCCCCCACAGCGGAGAAGGTGAGCTCCCTGGGCAAGAACTGGCACCGCTTCTGCCTGAAATGTGAACGCTGCCACAGTGTCCTGTCCCCAGGAGGGCATGCAGAGGTGAGGCCTGGCCAGGGCGCACAGCCCTGTGTCTGTCACTGTCCCCTAAGCACCAGCCCCCAGTTTCAGCTCAGGAGGCTCACTAAAGGCAACCTCTGCAGTCAAATACCAAGACCACTTACCGGGAGGGCCCCACACCAGCCAGGATTTGGGACACCTGAGTTGTGCTGGTGGGGGGTGGACCCCATGCCTTTTGGTGGGAGGGGAGGGAAGCAGCAGTTTTCTGACCTGCTCTTGCCCTTTCTCCTGACCACAGTGGCAATTCTGACATGCCAGTTCACCCTCCACCCCTCCCAACCCCACCAGCCAAGGCCAATGGACAGACACATCTGGCAGTCTGTGTTGAGGGAAGGCCTGTGGGACACAGGAGAGCTCCCCACGTCCCCCCCCCCCCACACCGCTTCCTTACCCCTGAGCAGCTCTCTTTCCTCTGCTTGTGTCTAGCACAATGGGAGGCCGTATTGCCACAAGCCATGCTATGGGGCTCTCTTTGGACCCAGGGGTAAGTACCAATCTAGAAGAGGCCAGGGGACAGCAGGACCCTCTTTGTGGCTGGGAGCTGGAGGTTCAAGCCTGACAGCCCCTGTTTTCTCTGCAGGGGTGAACATTGGTGGTGTGGGCTCCTACCTCTACAACCCTCCCACTCCCACCCCAGCCAGCACCACTCCCCTCAGCCCCAGCAGTTTCAGCCCCCCCAGGCCCAGGACTGGCCTCCCCCAGGGCAAGAAAAGTAAGTGAAGTTGGGCCCCAGCTACTCCTCATCCCCAGGCTGAAACAGGGTAGACCAGGTGGCAGTCTGCCACCCTAGTCCTCTGCTTCACATTCCTACAACTTTGTGGCAAAGTCTTCTCTTATTCATGGCCCTTTTTGGGGGGTTCTCTCATGTCAGCTGCTGAGTTAAGAGGTAAATTGGGAACCAAGGTGGTTTGGAGAGAGTGAGTGGCCTCGTGCAGTCACAGCAAGTCAGAGGCAAAGCTGGCCCGGGATTCAGGCCTCTCCCAGGCCAAGGCCATGGAAGAACGACCTAGGAGTAAGACGTCATTGAGACAGGGCCAGCCCCTCATATTCTTCCCCTTCTCCCCTTCTCCCCTCTCCCTGTTCCTTCCTTCCATCCCCTAGAGTGGTCAATGACACCATGCTCCCCAACACCTGACACCCATACAGGCCCGCTCCTGTATCAGCTCAGGTTTCCTGAGGATTGAGTTGCTGACAGGGTTGAGCTGGTGGGTACCTGATCCCCTAGGAGGAGAAGGAAGCAGGTGGTCCCTTCTGCAAAAAGGAATGGGGCAGGAGGTGGGGGTCATAGGAGACTCAGCTCTGCCCAAGAAAGACTCATGGCCAGCTGGGTGGGGGGCTCTGGGATGAGCATGGCTTTTGGAAGAAGCCATGTACAGGCTGGTGCTGATGGGCCCTGCTTAGGCCTGGCCCCCGCCTCAGCCCTAGCCAGGGCCTCTTCCCCTTAAAGGCCCTCCCCACATGAAGACATTCACTGGGGAGACTTCACTGTGCCCTGGCTGTGAGGAACCTGTCTATTTTGGTAAGTGACAATGGAAAGCTTGGGGAGGGGGGCAGAGGATGGGCATCAAAGTGTAGGGAGGTGGTGCAAAGCAGGTAGGTCTCCTTGCCCTGCTCCTGGAATTACCAGTTCTCTCCACCACCAGCTGAGAAGGTGATGTCTTTGGGCAGAAATTGGCACCGACCCTGTCTGAGGTGCCAGCGCTGCCGGAAGACCCTGACTGCTGGGAGTCATGCTGAGGTGAACAGGGCAGGGATGGGTGCTTATGTTGGGAGGAGGGAGGCTGGAGATGGGAAGAGAGTCAAGCTGAGATGGTTCTCTTTCTCTCTATGTCCCAGCATGACGGCGTCCCCTACTGCCACATCCCCTGCTACGGCTACCTGTTTGGCCCCAAAGGTGGGCGGCCCCACCCCAGACAGTGGGCCTAAAGTATGGCATGTGGGTCTGTGGGGATGTGTGGACAAAAACTGGGGTGATCACACACACCCCAGGTCCCTCCCAATTCCCTCAGCCCAACACCTCCCAGCCCCAAGGCCCTTGGTGATGGGGCTCTCTCCCTCAGGTGTGAACATTGGTGATGTGGGCTGCTACATCTATGACCCCGTGGAGATAAAATCCAAATGAGATGCTCACAGGAGAGGTCACTCTAACTCAGGCCTCATACCATCCCCTCCATGATCCAATGAGAGCTACAGAATTCTCCAGTCCCACAGGGGGAAGATGGTCTTCCAGTGGCCTGGGCCTAGGCTCCATGGTAGACCAGGGAGTCTAGACTTTGCCGATTCCTCCCTTTCCTGTTCCAATCTGGCTAGGGGACATAGGCCACCACATTTTAAAGGGTAGCCTCCTGGCCTTCCCAGTCCCTTTCCCTAGCAAATTCTTTAACTTCAAGTACTTAAAAAAATGTGTTTATTCTGGCTTCTCCAATAAAATGTTGGCTCCCATGCCTTCAGCTCTTCTTTGGGCATGAGGCCTAAACAATGGGTTGGAGGATGGGAGGTGTGGGGTGGAGGATGCATTACCCTGCAAAGTGCATGGTAGGTACAGGGCCAGCCATGGGAACAAAGAGCTCTATTCTCCTGGTACCCTGGTCCTGGGCAGCTCCCAGTACCACACAGTGGACAGCATGCCCACCAGCCTTTTGGTGCCACAAGTCATCATAGGGCAGTCCCTTCTTTAGCACAGTCTCTAGAAGAAGCACGTTAGGGTGCCTGGGTGGCTCAGTCGTTAGGCGTCTGCCTTCGGCTCGGGTCATAATCCCAGGGTCCTGGGATCGAGCCCCGCATCAGGCTCCCTGCTCAGCGGGAAGCCTGCTTCTCCCTCTCCCACTCCCCCTGCTTGTGT